GCTGTTGGGGCGCGTATCCAGGATACTTATCGTGTCGGGATATTGTATATAGAGGCTGTTGGGGTGCGTGTCCAGGATACTTATCGTGTCGGAATATTGTATATAGGAGCTGTTGGGGCGCGTATCCAGGATAGTTATCGAGAAGGGATATTATATCTAGGGGCTGTTGGAGCGAGTGTCCACTATACCTATCTTGTCGGGATATTACCTGAACCTGAAAATTTATTCATAGTGGGAGAAACAGAAAATATTAGATGAAAGACCAGGATAAAAAAAGTGAAATTGGGTACATAAATTAGTATCTTTTTATTTGAGGATGCGCAATTTTTTTAAACACGAGTCTTGCGACAGTTTTATGTAGAATACTTTTTGAAAGCGAATCTCTTCAAAGCACACACATTTATTTTATTCTCATTTGAATAATTTGGAAGGCTGAATTTTAAAATTTCAGCGTAGATTGAGAGCAGGTCAAAGCGGGCTAACCTTCTACTAGTAGTTATAAAGGAAGTTCGAAGAAAATGTAATAGTAACTGAAATCAATCATCAGCAACCTTACAGCATCTAGAGCAGTTGTCAACCGCATTTTGGAAAATAAAAGGCATTTATTAACAGAATTTCAGTTTATCTAGGCAGTTTTTAACTGCATTAAAGATAATTAAGGCATTTATGAATAGCATTTCAGTAAATAATGGCCGTTTTTACAGCATTATTGAAAATTAAGGCAATTATAAGCGGAATTTCAGTTAATAAAGACAATTTTAACTGCATTATAGAAAATTTAGTCATTTAGAAACAGCACTACAATATATAAAGGCAGTTTTTAACTGCATTATAGAAAATTGAGGCATTTATAAACAGCATTTCAGTAAATAAAGGCAGAGTTTTTCTGCATTATAAAAAATGGGTCATTTATAAACAGCATCTCAGTAGATAAAGGCCGTTCTTCACTGCGTAAAATTATATATTGACAACTGCTAACTGCATTTAAGAAACTATTGAATTACATTTGGGAAAATAATGAAGCAGTTGTCAACAATATTAGTGTTAATAATAAGGTTCATTATTTCAATAAAAAATTCAGGAAGTCCTTAAATACATTAAGAATTGGATGAAAACGGTTCGTAATTGCATTGTAAAAATACGACGAATTTCTCAGCAACATTATAGTCAATACATCCCAGCTCGAAATTCTTGCAGTCATTGCGGCCGTTAAATTTGTCGCAGAGACGTTCGCAAACGCGCAAATCTAGGCCGTTGTTGCCGACTTCACCTCGCGCCCAAGCAGTCTAGCGATGATATGGCCTCATCTGCCTCGAACAGCGCGAGGCCTCGGTCGGCAAAAGCTGCGGCAGGCAACTTGCCGCACCTCTGCCGCGGCCTACGTCGAATATGCCGGCGGTAACGGTTCAAGCTTTGAGGAGGCAGGGAGAGGAAGGGGGTGAAGGGTGAGGAAGGCGGAGGAATATTGAAAGAACCTTCTAGGCATGAATATTCGTATGGAGCTTATACAGGAAGAAACGGATTGAATTATTCTTTTATTTGATTTCTCTAAAATTATGAGGTTTACATGATTTTTATTATCTAGAATTTTTTATTTTAGAAATTTATTTATTTTATTTTTTTAGAATTTTTTATTTTAGAAATTTATTTATTTTATTTTTTTCTATTCTATTCTATTTTATACCACAGCGAATCCATGTCGCCAGTATTTGTGGAACTAGTTCCATCCATTATTTTGTGTATTCACTTTATTGACATATAATTTTGATAAAAAACGCGAAATCAGTGAATAATCTAAAAGTAATTATCAATATTTACAAAACAATAGAAATACCAAATGAACGCCAAACGGTAACGAATAGGACTAACGTATTGCAGATCTCCTCTGCTTTTCAAATTCAAGTAACAGCCCGGCTGCCGCGGCTGCTCGGCAGGCTTCACTCTACATTCATGCAGGAATTTCAGTACTCAACAGCTTCCTATAAATTTAGAAAATTTCTACGATCCTAATCTGTTTATTTATGATCATATTCCGCGATCAAAATTCAATAATTATTAATCCATTTTGATTCAGGTATGGATAATATTCTCGTGGACAGTTAACAGATTATTTTTGCAACACCATCTTCAAACTTAATCGCTTTAATGTGCATCAAAGCTATTTTCAATTGCTTTATGATAATCTTGAGTTAAGTATTAACACAGCAAATGCACGAAAGCTCGCCTTCAAAGCAATTCGAACTAGCAATCAAAAAGAACCTTCTGATGATAACTAATGGTCATCTGGTGTACAACAATTGAAATCAATTACAAAGCTCTGCGTGTAAAATTTCCAAGAGGAATACCTGCAGAAAACGCGCAGGGCGCTGAACAATTTGTTTGCAGCTAAACTAATGCCAAATAGTTCAATTAGAAATTCACCTATTTTTAATTACTCAAATATATCCGTTCTTTCCAACCTTTTTTTGTTGAGAATCTCATATTTATTCAGTAACTTTTTTTGTAACAATATTTTTAAATCCTAGTTATGCTTTGCCTGGCAAGGATGACCAGAAACAAACTTCAATCTTGAGTCCTCACACTTTTCTGGAGCAATTATCCTTGTATATTGTAACGTAATTGCTTTCCATCTGCAAACTTAAGGTATACTACTATATATACAGAGAATATGTCATCATTTATAATAAGGAGGAGAGAGGTATAGACGTAACAGGACAAGGGACAAATGCAGTGATATTTGTCTAGACGCGGCTGTAGTTTGTTAAAGGATGTTTCTTCTCTAGATATTTCAAGGCGAAGGGTAATAGCATTCCGTCTCCAAAACGGAAACTTTCAATGAAATTTCTTCGAGAGGCAGTCAGGCCGAATTGCGATGGGTCAGGCCGCGTTGTGATGACAAATTCGCAATCAAATTTGTAAAATCTGTAGATCATTTCTTCAACGGCCACGCTTGAAGTTGCATTGGCTTCGTCATAGGCCTCGATAAGAATTAAAGAATTCAGTTTGGTCAGAATATACTGAACGTTATGAGCTCCGATTTGGCTGCAAGACTTGGGGAAATTTTGCTCAACAACGTCAGAAAAACTGCAGGATTTCTTATCACGGCAGTTGAAATGGATGAAAATGCCCTTCATCCCACTATAAATGTAATTCCACAAGCTTTCTGGGATGTGATCAGGTGTATCTGATCCGAAGATAGTTGATTGTAAATTTCCAAGCGGACTATGAACCCAATCAGATCGAAATTCATATGACAGGACATTACGGCTTTTCAAAACGTGTTTTAGGGATAGTTGGCCTCTCAACGCCATGTTCTCTTTCAATACACGATACGACGCAAAAGTGTCATCATCCAGGTTCACATCATAGTTGTATTTATCCTCGAGGGACTTACAAGTATCATCCACCTGCTTTGCTTCCACATCTGGCACTCGGTACAGTTTAGCAGCCTCACTAATGAGCTCAATTGTAACCTCGTTAATCTTTCCAGGAACCCCAGCGAGTTCTGAAGGATCCTTGCACATTTCCGAGTGAACCTTAACTCTGAGGTCCTGGACTTCTTGCAGAAGAGCGATGACATTCTTGCAATCTCCTGCTCGCTCTGTTGCATCGACTATGTCACTCGATCTAATATCTAGAAGTTCGGAAACCATCTGGATTAAGGGGAGAACATCGAATGGCCGTAGATCTATCCCGTCACATTCACGTTTTTCAAGAGCCACCCTCACGGGTGATTTTCTGATTCTAGAAGCCAGCTTTTCGCGATACACTGGATGTCTGCACTGCGATAACAAATACTCCGCGTGCGTATCCTGCGGAGGCTTGTCCGCGCACACTTTCTCCATTACAAAGCGCAGTGCGTGCGGCAGCACAACGTTCAGGGCGTACAGACTCCTGTACACGGCGTCCAGGTCCCCGCATGACGAAGCCAGCAGGGCCTTCTCGTCACCGACGGCGGGGGCCTTGGGGAGACTGGCGGGCGACTTGTGAGTTGTTGCTGCCTCAAACCTGCTATATTATAAGATAATCTTATGATTTTCCGCCCAATTATTACCTTGTGTATTATCATCTCAAAGATAAAGGTACTGTAGACTTAAACCGTTTATGGTCTAGAGAGAACTCAAGTCCTTCGGATCTCAAGTTCTTCACGCTTCACATTGGGATTCGAAATTATTTATATTTCAGGCAATTCCTATCATTTTCACTTAAATTCCATTTCATGTAATCATATCTTGCATCACGCAAGCTACATCTATTCTTCAGGGAAACATCTTGTTTCGAGTGAGTTGACATGAGGTTCAAACAAGGTTTAGTCATATTTAGGTAAAAAAATTGTGGGTACCTACCTTCTTGATTCTGCCAGCGGTAGCAGCGGTGGTACACCGGTTAGAATGAACACGTAATTCTTCTCTCTGCAATGGTTTGAAAATATCAACGGCTTACGAAATTGCTTCCAAAAAATAATTTTTAAATTTTCAGAAGCCTTGGAAGTTGAAAGTCTCAAGATGTACGTATACCAGTCATGTAGTCAGAATCGCTTATTAACGTGTGTTATAATATTACGGAATTCATTGTATTCCATTCGCGAAGAAGAAATAATAGTTGCCAATAACGTAGATTTAAGTCAAAAATTGTTCATTCAAAACAACCTTATTTTTTCAGCTGCAAATGCAACAATAAGTACGGATTTTTTTAAATGATTGCAAATGCGATTAGAACGCAATAAAATGGCTGGGTCGTAAGTCAGCACGTCATGCTGGACTGCACAGAAAATGACGCGAATCGAGGTGGGGATAAGAAGACACCATTATTTTCATCGCCAGGCTATGTCGATAGGATTAGTAAGTGACATTAATAGGCTAGGTTTATTTACCGAATAGTCAGCACTCTGCTGGGCCCCCCATGGATTTGCTTGCCACGGAAGAGCGTCCTGAGGCCCTTGCTTTGTATCACAGCTACCGCCTCTAGCAGCTGAGCTTCAGTCAACTCGCAGTCACGCACCTCCAGCCACTTCAACCTTAATGGAGATATTAATTATATTACAGAACGCAAATGATTGAGCCAAATTTTAATTTCTATTCTACACGGTGTAGGATCCAAGATGGATGAGGAAACATACAATCAAGTTGAAGTTGATCTAGTAGCATTCTCTATAATGCAATGCGAATCATGTACAAGCTGGAAAAGATGGATTCAGTAAATGACCGGATGCACCGTAATATATTATCGAATTATCAAAATCTAACTTAAGTTGATAAACGGCTAATGAGAGTGACAATGAAACTGTGTACTAGCAGTCACAAGCAAGCGTTTCTGAAATTGCGTGTAAATGGGTGCTTCGTTCAGTGTATTATAGTTATAGTTTTTCTAACTGGTGCGCAAAATCAACCAGATTAATGAATAAACATGTTAAAAGTAATGTGATATTGAAAGTCATCTTATACTGTAGGATCTCTTGCAGTCATAATAAACAATCTCGGTGAATTATGACTACCTTAATTATTGATCATGAGCGAAACCAAGGTAATTTTTTGCCTCCTTGGTTCGGTCACAAATATTTTCCTTTATAACCATATACAAGGCAACACCTTTTGTCAGCTGGTGCCAGCCCAAGTATGGTGCGAGTCAAAGTCGCTGACTGATGATTTTTGGTGACAGGCTTCACCCGCAGGCAAATGTTTGGAGACACAGGCAGAGCAACGATGCCACCCCGAGATGTGGGCTCGACAGTCACCCCTGCAACGTTAGAAGATGGTTGTAATAATGGAAGGAACATTGAGTGTTAACATGAGATCTGAGAAGTAAGCATTGAGTGTTAACATGAGATCTGAGAAGTAAGCATTGAGTGTTAACATGAGATCTGAGAAGTAAGCATTGAGTGTTAACATGAGATCTGAGAAGTAAGCATTGAGTGTTAACATGAGATCTGAGAAGTAAGCATTGAGTGTTAACATGAGATCTGAGAAGTAAGCATTGAGTGTTAACATGAGATCTGAGAAGTAAGCATTGAGTGTTAACATGAGATCTGAGAAGTAAGCATTGAGTGTTAACATGAGATCTGAGAAGTAAGCATTGAGTGTTAACATGAGATCTGAGAAGTAAGCATTGAGTGTTAACATGAGATCTGAGAAGTAAGCATTGAGTGTTAACATGAGATCTGAGAAGTAAGCATTGAGTGTTAACATGAGATCTGAGAAGTAAGCATTGAGTGTTAACATGAGATCTGAGAAGTAAGCATTGAGTGTTAACATGAGATCTGAGAAGTAAGCATTGAGTGTTAACATGAGATCTGAGAAGTAAGCATTGAGTGTTAACATGAGATCTGAGAAGTAAGCATTGAGTGTTAACATGAGATCTGAGAAGTAAGCATTGAGTGTTAACATGAGATCTGAGAAGTAAGCATTGAGTGTTAACATGAGATCTGAGAAGTAAGCATTGAGTGTTAACATGAGATCTGAGAAGTAAGCATTGAGTGTTAACATGAGATCTGAGAAGTAAGCATTGAGTGTTAACATGAGATCTGAGAAGTAAGCATTGAGTGTTAACATGAGATCTGAGAAGTAAGCATTGAGTGTTAACATGAGATCTGAGAAGTAAGCATTGAGTGTTAACATGNATTTGTTCACTCTACGGACCCAATGACCCTGAGCCATAGGGGTGAACCTTTGACACCATTGAGCGACCTCTAAATATTAACCGATATGAAAAATATTTTGAGGATATTATTTAGGCATCTAGACGAACCCGTTTTTGAGGTAGGAACTCATTTTCAAAGAAAAAAGTTTTTGAGGACGACCCTATTGCTACAATTACATGAATCATAATATAAAACGATTACCCGAGCCAATGTTCCAGACGTCGCTGTGAGTCTTGTAGACTCTGGCAGTCTCTTCAGCTACAAGCTGGGAGTGCGGGCTGCTAAGCAGGATTTGCTGCCAGAAATTCTTGTCAGCTAATGCCGCATTTGCAGCTTCCTTCATGCGATCCCAGTTACGTTTCAAGACTTGGTAGTTGTTTTCCGCACACAGCTCCATCAGCACGTATGTCAGGACTCCCTGTGTGCTGTTTAAAAGATCGGTTAGTTTGCTGCCTGTAAACTAACCGATAATCCCACCTATCGCATTATAATATTACAACATCTGAAATGATATCTTTCGATTCAAATAAATAGACCAAAAAGCTATTATTGCTATGGCTGTATATTCAAATTCCATTGAAATTCAAAAACCTGAACTCAAACCGATGAAGATTTTATTTATACAATCCGTTGTGGAAATATGTATATAAGCCTAGTTATTTATTACATCATGTCGAAAATCAAAAGTTAACATGATTTTATTTGCCGAGAATAAGCTATCGGACAATTTTTACTTTGTAACATATAAGACTATGCGAAGAAAAATAAAATTGAAACAATATTTTTCGAACTCGAATCTGCACGCTTAAGACAATACTCGTGAACCTCTTGCGTCGCTCAGTAACTTTATCAGGAACTAAATCTTCTATTACCCAATATAATTACTTTACTATGAAAATAATTAGGTTCCTTCAATTGGAGGTCGTAACTAACATTTTTACGCACAACTTGTATGATCAATCCATGTTCTTCATGAAGGTTATTTTGAATTAAAGCTCCAAATGATTTGGGAGACTGAATCATGAATTCAAAAATATAAATGGATTTCTTTTTGTACTGCCCTAACCTAGCGTAAATTCACCTCACAATCGCTTTGAATCCTTCTCGTAGGGCTGGCAGCAGGCAGTTGTTCTTACGAAGCTCCTCAATGACAGCCTTAGCGGCGAACAGTTCTTGAATACTCTTGTGATGGAAGAAGTACGTGTAGGAATCAGAATTCCTCAGAAGCCGTTTCATTTTCAAGACGACGCCCAAAAGAGCATTAGGATCAAGTCTGCCCAGTGCCCCATAAGCTTCAAGTCTTTCAGTGAAATTTCTTTTCAAGTGAACCACATCATTCTCTGAGAAAACTAAACGGTTTTCAGCAAGTGTTTCTAACGAGAAATTTCCTATTGACTGGAAGAAGTCTTCAATTAGACCATCCAAACCAACAATAGTACAGGAAGCGAGCTTTGACTCAATAATCTTCTTGTACAAAAGGAAGATATCATGAGCAACGTCTGCATGAGTTCTCCAATTATTTATACTTTCGGGATCATTCCACACCAAATGGCAGAAGAGAACCAGATAAATAGGGTGGACAAAAAGCTCTTGGATGTTTCGCTCAAGATCGCAGAAGCGCTTCACAACTTCATGAGTATGCGGAGTGACATGCTTTTCATACTTCTCTAGAAATCTTTTCTTGTCTTCCAGTTGGGAAATTTCTGATATCTCATACTCTTGAAACGCTACGCCTTCTCGCTTTAGGAAGACTTTGAGTTTGCCAGCTGCACTTGGCCTGGTGGTGATGATCACACGACACTCATGGTTCCTCATTTTGTTCACAATCTGTTCAATAACTTTATACGAGTCTTCATGACATTCGTCATAACCATCAACTAGAACTACAGGGTTCAGTTCAGTGATTCCTTCAATGACAGTATCATGGCCAAGTTTCTGACACACCTTCTCGAAATTTTCCTTAACCACGTCATTAAATTCTGCAATCGATACATTCCTGCACTCATAATAGAGGATCACTTTGTGATGTCTCAAATTAATCATCTCCACTTCGGTGTCCGAGATTTTATGGAATTGTATCATCAAGTTTTTCACCAGAGTTGATTTACCTGACCCAGATACACCAATGACCACTACAAATTTTTTGGTGTCCTCACAGAGAAGTTCTGTGTATGAGATCTTGTCTTTTGGTTGTGCGTTTGGTTTCTGGACTAACATTTCCAAGGAATAAAAAACTTTAGAGCGCTCAACCTTATCATCACCGAATAGCAGAGTTTCTTCGGACAACATCTCTTCCCACATGACTTTAGCTTCTTTTTTCCCAAAAGTGTGAAGGAAGAAGCGACAATAAGCCTTAGCTTTTTCATTATCAGTGCGCACTTCATCCCACAACCCATCTATCTTAGTTTTGAAACTTGTGACTTCATCAGCAGGGATGCTGTAGACGTTGCCAGCTTCATCTATCACATCATGCATGGCTTTGACAATTTCATCAAACTTCATAGGGTCGACAGCACTGGCAGCGACTTCATGCATAACAGCATTTCTTAAGTCTCTGGCCTCTTTCAGGAGGCACTCTAGTTGACTGAGACTTCTCACATGGCCAATGTGCGTGTATGATACTTTTAACTTGAACAGCTCACACAAAAAAGAACACATTAGAGTTACGTCATACTTTGACGGTTCTTCCAGTAGCTTTTCCATTGCACTTGGGGGTAGTCCAATCTTTGGGAGTTTAAATCTATTGTTCTTTTCTGCCACCAGGGCAGTATGGCGGTCTTCATATTGCTGCTTCTTTTGTTCAAAGTAATCAGCATAAGTCTGCCCTTGTTGCTTGTCGCTGCATTCCCACTTTAGAATTTTACGTAAAACTTTGCACATGGAACCTTGGACAGCAAAATTGTTTTTGCATCTGATGGCTTCCTGAGGAGAAAGTTCAATCCCTGGGACTAACGAGATGGTCTGTGCGAGGGCAGCCATTCCAGCGGGCTGGTGTGGGCCGCTTATTTATCTGAAATTAAAAAAAATATATATATATATATATTATTTAACTTATCATTTTTAATTCTGACAAATGATGATGGAAGATGATGCAGTTGTTCGGAAAAATTTGTAATATTCTTTATGTTATTGTTTTGAAAGAGCCAATATTTTTAGAGTGCAGGAATATAAAGTAGTGTAGTAGTATCGTCACGAAAATCGATCGGTGCAAATAATACTTTTAATTGTATGGTACATGGTGCGAGTTTTGGTTCCAATAACGTTATGCTTGAAAGACTGGTCGTCCGTACTTGCCAGGCATGTCCTCTTAAGATTACCTTCCTCTGAGTGGCATGCAGTAACTATTGCATGCAGTGGGCAGTGGAAGCCTTTCAAATTTGATAAAATTATATAAGTAGTTCACAGATATTGCACACCAACACAGTTTCCTTGTAACTAGACAATGTCTGACCAGTTTAATGAATCAATGAACAGAGTAACTCGTTAGTCCCCAGGTTGAGCTATAAATATATTGTATTTATTTAGACATGAAATTCGTTGATAGGTCTTAAATCGGATTTTTATAAAACACATTAATCTGGGTTCACCTGTGATTACAACATGTTTCACCACAGTTGAGCTGAGCTGAGGATACTTTATATAGGATACGTCTAAGCTCTTAGAGTTGATGCAAGTTTAAAAAATTCTTTTAAGTGCATCAATGATCATCTTGGTTGATTAATGCTGAATTATTAGTTATTCTATTATCATATTACACAGTTGATAAAAGTTTTTACAAAAAAATGAACTACATACTTTTTTCTCCAAGTTTAGAAAATATTTGCAGGATTCTGATTCTTTTCTGCTGTAATATAGTAAAAATTAATATTTTTTACAAAGGGCCATGAGCAGAATTATCAAAATAGTCCGATTTACACATTTTTGTTTATGCATTATGGGGAAAATGTTCAGATATTCGTCATTGTTTCAAATAGAAATAAAGATAATGTATACCTGTACAAGCAGTCTTCAATGTGTTGTAGGTTTTAATTTGAGTTTTATTCAACTTAATTTGAGCCAAATTTTATTCTACTTGGATCATGATATTAAATTTTCGATTAAGTGATCAGATATATTTTTGTAGAAATCATTACAATTGGCCAAAAATCGGTAATATTTTGCCAATATATATGTAATATATTGGCATTCTCAGAATTAACTACAATTCAAGAGTTATTTAGGTAACTCTTTAGTTAACTCGGATTTTTCAATTTATGTGAATTTTTTCAATGGGTTTCTACTCACGTGTTATCTCAAGTGACTGAAGAACATAAACTTTGTTCTTACTACTTAAATTTGCACTATTCATATATTACCCTATATTAAAGAACATTTTTGAGAAGTTTGTCATACTTTAGATGAAATAAATTTTCATAACATATTTCTAGGGAAAAATCAAAGAAAATCATTATGTTGGTGTTCCTTTATATCACATATGCATGTATTCTATTATCCATATATTTTTTTTTGGCAATTTTGATCTTCCTTCTCTCATTGCCTTAACTTATAAGTTTGTCTTAAGACATGTGCACATTTTAAACTATATTTTAAATTTATATAATATCATTTATTGAAATTTCACATTCATATTAATTTTTAAAGAAAAATTATTGTTACCGATCGGACAGGAGATATTTCCAAGTCTTCTATTACTGAAATTATACTTTTTAGTTAATCAACACCCAAAAGCCATAGAACCTCTCGTTTGTGATATTGGTGTAGTATCATAAAAAAAGAAATAGGTTCAGCATTTCGCATTGATAATCAAGTTCAAAGCTTCAGCCTTATATATATTATTAAATTAGAATTATTTTCAATGGTTGTCTATTTAGAAAATATTTATGTATCCATGTTATGACTTTGCCTACTGTCGCATTATTTTGTGTGAATTTTATTTAACTTCAATTTGCTCACATTATAAACTGACATTGTAACCGGGCGTTACCATGACCCTTGCGCCACAAAACAAATCTGCAGCTTATTAAATTCATATTAAGATGATCCGGGTTTTAGGACCCGAGTTCCGCGGTGTCCGTCACCAACCGGTCTACTTTATACTGGTGGCTTGTGCTGTGAAGACCTAATGCTTGGTTACTGCTTGCCCCTCTCGTGCTCCTTACATACACTTTAATTCACTCTAGTTTACACCCAACTACAAATCATTCAAGTTTCTTGTTTAACTCATTTTTCCCTGACTGCTGTGTAATTATTCACCTGTAAAGTCAACCCATAGTCTAGTATACTTAAAATATACCATCGTTTTACTATTCCACCAAATGAATTATTAAGGCTGCCAGAGACATAAAGTGGGTCCTTCAGACCCACTTTAGTGGGTCTGAAGTGGGTCTTTCAGACCCTCATCCACGCGCCGGCAACAACATAAATTTATGAATATTTTCAAGGAATTCGCCATGCTTGACCAGCTGAAAAATGAAGCAATGCGGAAATACAATAAGCGTTTTAGTGGGAAAATTCGTTAAAATCATATCTTTTTTCGTTTTCTTTGCGATCGTATATTTTATTAGATTGATTGAAAATTTTAATTTTGTGATAATTTTTACCTAAATTTGACTTTGCTTCTATCGAGGCTGTCTTAGATACACGCATTTCCCATAAATTAAATAAAATTTCCAACATGAATCGATAGTATTTCATCGAAACTTCACCTAATTTTACAAGCAACTGTATTTTCGTAGATTGAATAGGAGATATTTGCAGGAAATTTATTACCAAAGTGATCATTTTTTCAGCTCACTAAGTGCAGCCAATACGTGGAGGACCTCTCATGATCATCTCATCATCATAATCATCATCAAGAATTGATTTAGCAATTTATTCAATTTCTTTTGTTCTTTCGTCACTATCATTGCAGACAGGTAAAATTTAAACTGATTTTCATAGTTAATAAAACTAATCACTTTATATAAAGAAATTAATCAATTAATCAAGTACACATTTCAGTGAAAATCGGATCAAAAATAAAAAAAAGCAAAATGTATTAGAAGTTTTAGCTAAGCAAATGAGAGCTAATCATAATTGGTTCTGCTTTATAAAATTTTGATGTTAATTGTTCACTTGGTAAATAATTTTTATTCCACGATTTCTACCGTTATAAGTTTCTATCCTTTCCCAATGCTATATTACATTTTCATTTAGTCAATTGTTTATTATGAATAAATCATTTGCCTTTTTCAATATTCTCAATGAAATGTTTGTATATTCGATACCGAAATGATTACGTAACTGGGAAGATCTAAAAACAATTACGCTTCAAATTTAATTTGCAAAACTATTTGATTCAATGCTGTACAAACAAATCGATTTATTCATAACAGAAACTAAATTTTATTGCTATAATTTCACAATGTACTGACAAAGCGTCACGTCATCTTTACTCACCCCAGTGATCCGAGCAGAAATTGCCCCAAGTGAAAATTGAAGCAAAGTCGCTGAATAAAACTAAGCCGAAGTTTTTTTTGTCGGCCTTGTTATAATTTATGGTTTATAGTGAATTTCCAGATGATACAAAGCGTGTAAATAAATAATCATCTTCAGCAGTGACAGTGTTAACTTTCAAGATATATCTGAAACATCACTATTGAGATTAGGCGGAATTAAATTAAAAAAATCATATCCTCATTAGAAGTTGCGTGTGAATTTAAAAGAGTTTAGAAGACCAATTTCGTATAGTGATAATTGTTGGCTCTGTCCAATCTCCAACAATGGGGTGGTTCTCGAACGGAATGTTTAGACATAGTGCACGAAAACAGCGGACACGCGTGTGGCAGTGACACGAAATTGCCACTTCAAAGTTTTATTTTCCGAAAATAATGGTTATTCTTCTGGAATCTCTACTTGACCTGATGAACTACTTATAATATGCCATACCATAATGTCCGACCACCAGAGACTAGTTTCGACTGAAGTCTATGCTCAGGGAGGCTAACTTATCTGTGGTGACCTTAACGATAAGAGATTAGGAGATAAGAGGAGTTATCAATAACTGTTGAGATCGACTCAATAAACAACCTGTACCATCTGCATGAATCTTGATGATCTAAAGAAGGAGACAATAGGTCCAATAAGCAACTTACTAAAATTACAATAAGAGACTTTGAGTGCCATGCAGTTTAGACTGCGTAAAGTGGATGAGCTAATTAAATTTTTGGTGGTCACTTTCTGGAAAAAACACTGCACTTGACAGCTATATGCATAAGTTGACTGGTATATACGTTATTGTTTCTTTTCTTTTTGCTTATAAGTTTTCTCATAGCATTATCCAATTTCATTCCCGATTTTGCTTCAAGATTAAATTCAATATCTTATAATTGACAAGTGTGGTTTCTGTGATTATGTACTTGAAGTTACAGAATAGCCAAAAAAGTTGTCAGCTTTTTCATCATTGATTTCTTCCACTAAATTCTTGCACGAATTAACTTACCCTAATTTGCTCACCAGTATTTGTATATCTAACAGTTTCAATAACTCATATGCAAAACAACCTTTGCTTCCAAGTTTTTTAATATGGGGAAAATACTCAATAAAATAGTTCTAAATAAATAATATAGAAGAAATTACATGTAAAATATTACTGTGATGAGTGTGAACCTCTGGGCATGCCGTTCAAAAGTTTAGCATTGTTTGACTTGTGGAAATGAATTTATTTTCCTATGTAGGCGTCAAAACCGTCACTAGTGACGCTTTTTACGAACAATTCTTATGGTAACTCTACTTCGAGTTTTTGCTTTTTATGAATGGATTAACCACGTTTATGGAAATAAAGAAGTGTATTTAAATTATTTAACTACGGTACAATGGCTAATTGATGTATGTTGCCATCATGACGTAAGGAAGTTGAACTGAATTGAAGGATATATTCACTGGCTTGTTATCATGACTGTTTATTACGGTACCCACTTCACCCACACAATTATAACTATCATATAACAAATATCTCACAATAAGCTATTTCTTCGCATTAAACATAAATTTACAAGGATTAATTCTAATCATGGTCACATAGGACTACATTATCCACATGCACGCTGTATAAACTACGAAAGCATAGCTGCTAGTTGGGACATTGAACGTGGCGGTATTCCGGTGTCACTCATGCCATACATGCTACACTTGAACAGCATTAATTAAAAAGCATAAGCAAACAAAAAATCAATTAAATTCATCTCGTAAACGTTTCAATTAAACTCAAAAGAATGATCGAAATGAAAATTAATGAGAAGTTTCAATGAAACTTTTGCAAATGAAATGAAATGATAAAGTTTAAAATGAAAAGTTTCAATGAAATTTTTTCATCTGTTTCACCTCATTAGTTCAAAAATTTCATGGAATACAAATACAGTCGGTATTGAAACTTAAAATACTCCTGAAATTGTGAATCAATACATTTTCGTTCCGTTTGTCGTTTTTTCGTTACTTAAGTTTAAATATTTTTGATTAATAATTTTATTTTCATTTCCGATTTTATTGTATTATATACAATTTTTGAACTGAGGATGGAGCTGGTCTTCGAAACGTTCTCANAAGTCTCACGCATTTGTCAGAATTAAGGAGGGAGACGTGTGGTTGAGGAGACACAACAAAAATTTAGATGCCAGGAAAATGGTGGGGAGTTCAACCCGTGATAGGATATGACGGGGTTCCTTAAGAAGAAAAGGTTATCATTATAATCATTATAAAGTAAGTTAATTAATTAACCATTAAAGGGCAGCAATTGAAAAAAAACAAGCTATTAGCTTAGCTCAGGATGGCACCAGCTCCAGGGCACGGTGACCGGCCAGTAAGTCAAGTGAACAGCTGGTATTTATAATAATATAATCCCTGTTTAGTGAACAAAGTTTTCATATCCCTCGTCAGAAATTCTAATCGGTTTGTACAACAGTAGATGATAACTAAATCATGATCTGAAGCCATGGAATGGAAAAATTAGCATATATATGTAGAGTTTTGGGTTCTGAACCGTAAAACAATGACTCTCATGCAAAGTGTAAACAATATGAAAATAGTATGAAAAGGAGTTAATATTTGAAGAAATTATTATTGTTTGTTGCTCATTGTTTTATTAAGAAATTATTTAGAAATTAGTCATAGGAATAACGACTGCCGATATATCAGAATAGTTCAATAAAATCCCTAAAGCATTGTTTAGTGATGTTTGAACGCGTGTTCAACTATCATGTACTGAACTATCTATAGTCTTATACTTTATAATATTCCATTTGATGGATACCGATCCTCAGCAGTGTTTCAGGAACAAAATTCGTATGAAAATTGTTGAATTTTTAAAAATTGGTGAATAATTACGATAAATAAAAACCACCGGCTATGATAACGAAGCAGAATTGTAAGAAACAGCATCTAAAAAGATAATAAGCGCAAGAAAATTTGCCTGCAAGCGCCTGCAATCACCACGTCATCATAATTTTCTTCTCATAATATTTAAAAGCAAAAGGTAGTAGCTGTCCATCTCCTAATGTGGGAATTCTTATTAAATTGCTGTGTGAGGCTGTTGAGTTTGGCCGAGTTGTGACTACGAACTCAAATGGATATTTGCAGAATTTGTAGATCATTTCTTCGACAACAACGCTGGACGTGGCGTTGGCTTCGTCGTAGCTACCGAAGAAGATCAGAGGGTTCAGTTTCGTCAAAACATATTCAACGTTATGAGCTCCAATTTGGCTGCAAGACGCAGGAAAGTTTCGCTTGACAACGTCAGAAAAACTTTTGCTTTCCGAGTCACAACACGCATAGTGGATGAAGATGCACGGAATTTCACCGTTATTTGATCTAATATACAGTAATTTGGTAAAATCCGTCACAGACCCAGCGAAAAATTCATCGTGAATATTACCATGCGTAATACCCCTTGAATACAAATTACACTTAACGACATTCCGTCCTGCAAATTCATATTTTAGAGGGGCAAGGGCTCTCCGCTCCCAGTTCTCTTTCACTAGGTAATACGCAGCAAAAGCTTCATCATCAACGCGCACATCAGAGTATTTATCCCAGAGCGCCTGGCAAGCTTCCTTCACCCGCTCAGCCTCAGCGTCCGGCACGCGGTGCAGCTCAGCGGCCTCGCTGATCAGCTCGTATGCGATCTCAGTGATCCTGTCGGGCAGTCTCACGAGCTTAGAAGGATCAGCGCACATATTCGAGTGAACCTCAGCTCTGATCGTTTTAATTTCTTTCACGAGAGTGTTAGCGTTTTTGCAATCTCCCAATCCATCTTGAGTATCAACCAATCCACTAGATCTGATATCAAAAATTTCAAAAACTAGCTGGATTAGAGAAAGAGAATCAAACGGACTGAAATCTACACTTTCGCATTCACGTTTTTCCAGAGCTTCCCTCACGGACGACATTCTCATTCTTGAAAACAACCATTCTCGTGCGGACGGCAGGCACTTTGATAAAAAATACTCCGCGTGCGTATCCTGTGAAGGCTTCTGCGCGCACATTTTCTCCAGTACAAAGCGCAACGCGTGCGGCAGCACAACGTTCAGGGCGTACAGACTCCTATACACGGCGTCCAGGTCCCCGCATGACGAGGCCAGCGGACAGAGGTTCTCTCCACCGACCGCGGGAGCCTCAGAGAGCAAGGCAGGTGACCTGAAAGGTGAAGATGTGAAACACCTGCAATATTATAAGGCGAATTTGAGAGTTGTCACTTAAATTTATGATACATAATCCGAAGACTTGAAGAACTTTTTACTCGACTTCACGCGAGCAAGCTCTTAACGGTCAAATGGAAGTTTGAGTCGTAACTTGAACATGGTACTGATGATGCTTGTGTGACGGGATGCTTATTTCGTGGTATATTTTTTTTTGTTTCTATGAAGTATTGGTTCAACTGTACGTTCTATTAATCCTGTGCTTGATTAGTGACTAGTCAATTGTTGGTAACATTTATTTTTTGACTGTAATATGGAATCTCGTCTAATTGTGGTGTTTGTGGGATTTAGTTAGTGTCTTGGGACGAGACCGAAGGTGTAGCTCCAATGTGATTGGTTGAGCTGCTCCTGGCCTGGAGACGGTGCGCGCTAGATAGTCTTGAACGAAGGAGAGTTTGGTCACTTTGGAATTAGTTTAAGATTATTCGACTTTTAACTGTGATTAGTTTGCCAAATGATTAAATATATGTTGACTTTATTGTATTATATTATCTATTTTTTTACACTTAGAAAGTGTTTACAGTCTGTTTTGTACATTGGAAACGTGATGTTGAGGTAAGCTTATTTTGGCTGTTACCCCCTCGTTGTGTTTGCTCAGAAGTTGTGTGTGCTCAGTGTTAACGGGTTGGGGTGATACGGTTTCGACTCGAAATAGGGAAAGCCAGATTTGGGCTTCCAAGAATAAACTCCACAGCAGTTCTGGTCATAACTCTTAATGAGTTGAGTTCCAATAACGGGATAGGTGGAGTTCTTGGATAGTTCCGGATTTTGGCTGCGTTG